TTGAAGATAACAAGAGACAACACAAGAACTATGGTAGAACTCCTTGTACAACAGTCTTATATGTATTTTTTGTTTCATGTGTTTATAGGAATATGTTTTGTTTTGTCTTGCTTTGTTTTGTTTCTCCCTCTAATATAGAAAGGATAGAAATACATGTTAAGACTTATGCATGTGTAGAATCTATAAACAGTTTATGAGAACTGATCTTATGACACATTATGAAATGAGCAGATACTTTGAAGAAAAAGAGATCCTAAAGTACCCAGTGCTGATCCTGGAGTGTCATAATATGATACCCAGCAATAGTATTATTCTTTGTTCAGAGTGATACTAGCCTGCTTGGGTTTGTTCAATCTCAACATAATTGAAGATACAGATAACTGCATGTATGTTTAAGTGTATAGGATTGATAACCATGTTTCTAAGTTTTTGTTGGATAGTTGAACAGAACTGGTTGCAACCTCACTATTTGAATCCCCACTTTATATGCTCCACTTTAGTATCTTGAATAACTATTTGTAAGAGGACAATCTGTAATCATCAACTAGTGATTTCTTACTGCTTATTTTTTCTTTGAAAGTATGTATTATTTCTATCCATTTTCTGTTTTGTTTAGTCTTTCTTTAAATAATTTTTTAAAACCCAGAACTAAGAAGGGAAGTTATAAAGATGAGAGTGAAAAGCAATGAAATTGAAACTTAAAAGCAGATTTAAAAATCAACAAGGTAAAAAACTAGTTCTTTGAAAGCATAATTAAAATATATAAGAGCCTAGCCACCCTTATCAAAAGAGAGAAAAGACATCAATTCAATTAGAAGTGAAAAAGGTGAAATGATAGCACTATAAAAAACCAAAAGATAGTAAAGACTTTCAAAACTTTTATTCCAGCATATTAGCAAATTTTGAATAGACACATTCCTAGACTGACACAAACTTTCAGTACTAACCCAAAAAGATAGAAATATGTTAGACAAACAATGTAATATAGAATACATTAAGCACAGTAAGAGAATAAGATAGAATAATAGAAATAATAAAATACAATAAGCACAGTACTAATAGAAGTAAAAGAATACAATAAGCACAGTAATATAGAATCTTATCAACTAAAAGGAACTAGTTAGGCATTATAGTTGATACACTGTGTCAACTTGAGAAGTCTAAAAGCTTGAATAAGCTCACCCTCTCTACATCCGGGGGTATAGAAGACAAGTAGTTACAGCTCTAGGATATTGTTCATTGAGTCAATTTGAGGTCACAAGTTTAAATAAGTGATTCAGTAGAGGGTCAAGGTCCTTACTTTGTAACATCGTCTGCCTATGTAAGAGGAGGACTTGGAGATAGTGTGAGTGCTACACCCATCCCAGGGGCACAGCATGCTTACAGTATAAGAGAAGAAGAGGCTTGCTACCCCATCTTTTACTTTTGTTGCTTTGCTGTTTTCTGCAGCATTGAAGTGTTGCCCCAGTGACATGCCACGCTGCTTTGGTGCCAGCTGATTAAGGACTGAAAATTCCACAAACTGTGAGCTAAATAAACCTTTCTTTCCTTCATTTTAGGTGTCAGTGATTTTATCCCAGCAACAAGAAAAGAGTAACCAAGACAGTAGGATTCATCCCAGGTATGCAGAGACAGTTCAACATGTGCAAAGCAATAAATGTAATACATCATACCAACAGAGGTGGACAAAAATCACATGGACATCTCAATAGGTGCAGAAAAACATTTGACAAAATCCAATACTCATTCATGATTAAAACCATAAAGAAATATGAAAGAGTCTTTATCTCAATTTTTAAAAAAAAACCATCTATGATAAAACAATAGCCAACATCTTACTAAATGGTCAAAAACTGAAAGCTTTCACTCTAAAATCAGGAATAACACAAGGATGTCCACTATCACCACTCCTATTCAATATAGTTCGGGAAACATGGGCTACAGCAATTAAATATGAGAAAGAAAAGGAATAAACATACTAAAGGAGGAAGTGAAAGTAACATTATTTGCAGATGACATTATACTCCACATAGAAGATACCCAAAACTCCAAGATTTTATTACCAGATTCAACAGAGTACTCAAACACAAAGTCAACACTCAAAAAGTAATAGAATTTCTGTACACAAATAACCAACTCATGGAGAGAGAAATTAGGAAAACAACAACCTTCACAAGAGCACCAAAAAATGAAATACTTAGGAATCAATCTAATGAAAGAAGTAAAAGATCTCTTTATTGAAAACTCCAGTATTCTGAAAAAGGAGATCAAAGAGGATATAAGAAAATGGAAAGCTATCCCGTGCTAATGGCTAAAAAGAACCAACATAGTGAAAATGGCCACACTCCCCAAATTGCTATACTGATTTAAAGCAATCCCAATCAAAATACTACTAGCAAACCTCATAGAACTAGAGAAAATATTCCTAAAATTCATTTGGAATCAAAAAAGACCTAGAATAGCAAAGCAATTCTGAGCAAAAAGGGCTAGTCATGGAGCATCACAACCCTGGACTTGAAATTTTATACTACAGAGCCACTCTGATAAAAACAGCATGGTACTGACCAAAAATAATACAGACCTGTGGATTAATGGAACAGACTACAAGATGCAAAATCAATTCTAGATGCACTGAGCTAACATATCTTTGAGAAAAGGGCCAAATATGTTCACTGGAAGCATAGCCTCCTTAATAAATGATGCTGGAAAAACTAGCTTTCCATATGCCAAAGACTAAAAGTAGACCCATACCTATCACCATGTACGAAACTAAAATTGAAGTGGATCAAAGATCTAAATATTATAACAGAAAATTTAAATTTGCTGGAAGATAGAATAGGTAGACCCTAAAAGACATAGGTGTAGGCCAAGACTTTAAAAACAAAATCCTAATCAGAAAGGAATTATCACAAAGAATCAACAGCTGGCATTTCATCTTGCTAAAAAGTTTTTGCACAGGAAAAGAAATTATCAAGAGTCAAAAGACAACCCAGAGTAGGAAAAAATTTATGCCAGCTGTTCATCACACAAAGCACTAATTCCTAGAACATATAAAGAACTTAAAAAATCAAACTCTCCAAATTCAAAGACAATCAAAAAATGAACATTTGAGATTAATAGACACTTCTTATTTTACGAAGTACAAATGGCACATGCATGTATGAAGAAATATTCAACATCACTGGAAATTCAATAACTGCAAATTAAAACATAACTGAGATTCCATTTCACTCCAGAAAGAATGGTTAGTATCAAGAAAACGACTAATAACAAATACTGGTAGGGCTGTGGGGGAAAAAGGAACACTTCTCCACTGTTGCTGGGAGTGTAACCTGGGGCATCCAAAATGGAAATCAGTGTAGAAATTCAAAACACTGAAATTATAAGTCACATAACTCAGCTCTTCCCCGTCTGGATATCATCCAGGAAAAATTAAAAGCATCATGCCACAGCAATATATGCACATCCCTATTTATAGCAGCAAAGTCTATAATAGCAAAATCTTAGAAGCAACCCAACTGTCCATCAACCAATAAATTGATAAAAAATGTTTTTTTATCTTTAATAATAGAATATTACTCATAAACAACAATACAGTTGAGATATTTACAAGTAAATGGACAAACCTTGAAACCATAATCGTAAGTGCACTAAGCTGTACATTAGGAAATCAAACAATAACAAATGCTGGTATCACTGGTAAAAAAGGAACACTCCTTCATTGTTGTAAATCAGTATAGAGATTTCTCAAAAACCTTAAATTACAAATTCCACGTGATCCAGTTATATCCCTGCTAGGTATCTTCCTCAAAGAGTATAAGACATCTTACTACAATGATACATGCATACCAATATTTATAGCAACACAAGTTGTAATAGCTAATTGCTGGAAACAGATTGTATACTTGTCAAGAGATGATTACATAAAGAAAATGTATCTATACATAATAGAATACTACTCTGCTATAAAGAATGACAGATTAGAGACATCTGTAGGCAAATGGATGCACCCAGATAATATAATGCTGAGTGAAACAAACTGGACACACAAGCTTCAATACCACATGGTATCTCTCATTTGAGTGAGGCAAAGTACAAACAAGGGTACTAATAAAGGTTGGGTAGAGGGAGATGGATCTCTTATAATAGAAAAGCGGTCCAAGGGAAAAAGTGTGAGGAATGAGGAAGGAAAGGGGAAATAAGCAGAATAAAGAGGAAAAAAAGGGGAAATAAGTAGAATAAAGAATATACCACATATGGTAACATAATAACCTCAATTAATATGAACATTATATGCTATAATATGAGCTAAGATTAATAATATCAAGAAGAATAAAAAAGAGGAGAGGGGGAACCTGAGAAGGAGAATGGAGAGAGAGAGTAGGGAAAGAGGATTTTTAAAAAGAAACAAGCTGTGATATACACACTTAATCATTTGCCATGATGATTTTAAACTTCAAACATATACTAATATAAGAAAAAAATTTAGAAAAAAAGATGTTAAAAGCCACAGTTTTATGAACATGATCAAACATTGTTTAAGGTCCTCTGAAATTCTTTCCCATCAAAATGAATAGGGATGGGATTTCCACAGTAATTTCCCTCTACCTAATGCCAAATTTTCAGTTAAGATTTGAAATAGAATAATCAGATCTACTAGTTAACTTTGTTCTTGCTTTTTTGTTGTTTTTGCAGTTCTGGGTGTAGAACCCAGGGCACTTGCCCATTCTTATTTTCAACCTTGAGACTGAATCTCACTAAATTGCTAAATTTGCCAGGCTGGTCTCAAACCTGGGATCATTCTGCGTTAGTCTCCCAAAGTGCTGTGATTACACAGGCATGCAAGACCATCTCTGGTTTAATTAACTATTTTTACAGCACCATGAGGCCATGATACAGAACCTGAAAACAGCAGAAGATCAAATGAACACATGAAGACAAAAACAAAATCTTCAATATGAGCTATGATCTCAGCTCCAGACCCAGTGTAAGTGACTTACCATCATCATCCTCTCATTTTCTACTTCATTGAGCAACTCAGCAAACTCCTTGAAGGATTCAGCTGGCAGGAAACAATAACAGATAAAGAAGATTAATCATGGAGCTTGATAGACAAGTAGGCAGGGATCTGCCCAATGCTAAATACAAGCCAATGCCTCAAACTCACATAGGTCCTAAAAGAAAACATTAAGGCAAAGCTAGCAAGCAGAATGTGTTCAGGGCCTGTTGAATGTTTTTGCTCTTTTGCTTTTTTGCCAATCTCTATTCAAGAGCTTTTCCATGAAAAATATTTTATGTAATTCTTACACACCACTAGGAATACCTAGAATTTCTCTTACTTCTTAGACAAATTAAATGAATAAGGGAGGGGCAATGGGTTTGCTGGGTATAGAATGACAGCTGTAGAATCTCAAAACTTGAGTTTGAGCTCCTGCTCCACTAGTCACCAAATAGACAAATATCTCTGTTTAAACTTTTCATGCTTTAATTTCATCATCTATAAAATGAAATTAACTATTATTTTGGAGTAGTTATAAAAATGGAATGAAATATACATTGTGAACAGAGTTTTATATTCTATCATTTTTCTTGATTTTAGAAGCACTGTGTTGAAGTAAAAAACACTTCTGAATTACTAGCTATGAGACTTTAGGCAAGTTACTCAATGACTCTGAGATACTGTTTCCTTCCTTAGATATAATTCCTATCTCATAGGTTTGCTTTGGTGGTTAAATAAGATAATACAGACACACCTCCCAATATACAAGATAATTTCAATATATATTAGTTTTTTTTTTTTTTTTTTTTTTTAACCTTGTTGAGTCTAAAGCAGGTGTTCTCAATCCTGGCACATAAGAATCACTATAACTTGTGGAGCTTAAAAAATATCAATCCCACACCCTTCCCCAGATTAACTAAACTCAAATTCACCTATAAAAAAAACACTGAACTGCTTTTCTGTACTCATGCAAAACTTCTTATATCAAGCATGCAGGGATTTCTCTAAAATTAAGCAACTTTCCAACTCTTTCAGAAACCAGCTTGTTTGAAAATTCAATTCTGATACTAACAGCCTAGAATTAGTACAGGCTCCACAGGTACAGGGCTCAGTGCCACAAAATTAACCACAACTTCTGATGTCACTAAGTCCTGGATTTGACCCATGCTTAACAACCAAATTACAGGTTTTTATAAACCCCTTCTCATCCTTGATAATTTCCTAGAAGGAAACCATTCTGTAAACACAGAATTTGACAAAATACTTTACCTACTAGTAAAGGTTTACATTATAAAAGATACAATTCTGGAGCCACAAGATGAAAGAAATGCATACTTCCAAGATGTCTTTGTTTAAAACTTTTGCTATAATATTAAGCCTAAACCTATCTCTCTGTATTCATTTACTTAAGTACCTGATGAAAGATTCTTAAGGACCATAGATAAAGGCACACAATACATGAGAAGGAACAGTATATGGGTATTAGATGATGAGGATTCTAGTTTAGGAGACAACATAAAGAGAGAGGATATACATTTTAGAGAGAAACAGACCTAGATTGACAACCACAGTTATTACTTTCTATGTGACTCTAGATAAATGATAGAACCCTTTGAGTTTCAATCATTTTACCTATTAAATAGCCATGATTATCACCACCTAGAGTATTACAATAAGAACTAACTTAGAGGGTAAATCCAGTGTGTCAATAACTGCAGATAATAAACATTACCCTTTCTCCTACTTCCCAACCTTCTATCCTTTGACAGGCAATTCTACCACTTAATAGCAGGGTGACTAGTAAAATCACTTTTCCTCCCTGGACTTCAATTTCTAAACACACACACACACACACACACACACAGAGAGAGATTAAGCTTTAGTATTCCTTCAAATACCCCAACTTTCTGCCAGAAGCATGAAGTATGTTCTCAAATGATATCTGAATTACAGAACACATATGGGAAGCTTGGAAAAACAAATGTGTATAAATAATTTTAATCAAAAAATATGTATATTTGTAACACATAATAGTGATGGTCCTTTTGAGGAATTGGTACATGCATATACAATATAATTATTTTGATCCTTTCACTCTCCACTCTCCTAAGATCACTCTCCCTCTAATCCCCTTACTTATCTGTGAAAAATTTTTAAATCAACTTTTCATAGCCCTAGAAATAACCAAAATATAACAATACAAGTCATTGAAAATGGCTGAATAACTAGGAAAACAGTGAGGTTTTATCCTACTATGTTCTCACTGCTTTTTTTCCCGTGCTAAAGTAGCTTTGAAAGCAATTGTACAGTTACTTCAAAGATAACTGAAAACTCAATTTTTACTTTTTAAAAGAAAATTTCCAATCATATGTCAATAAACAGACAAGTGACTATCTGAACCTAGGTTCACCCAAGATCTATGCTACATATCTAACTCCTATCATCTTTCCATGAGGAAAAGTGGACCAAGGTGTATTATGATAAATATAAGATGGTGACAGGCATAAGAGAGGAGAGTTTAGAGGGAAAAATTACTAGAATCAAGGAGACCTTTGGTAGGGAAGGAATAAATGGCAGACAGGCCTGAGATCTGAGCCTTATTAAAGAAGCCACTAAAAAACTGAAAATTATTTCACCCAATCTTGCATTCAATACCCCAGGAATCTACTAGGATTATTTCATATCACTTATTTGACTCTGGCTGGCACCAAACTACAAGTCTCCAGATTAGTCAGATAGAAAATACATCAAGAGGGCATAAGAAATCTGTGAGATTAGAAGGCAAGACTAGTAGTCTCCTCACTTTGCCATCCTCTTCAGTCAAATGCTTTTATGTGACCTCAAAGAGCCCATGAGCTGGCATTTCCATTGGAAACACTCTGGGTTATGCTCTGCTTTGTGAATCTTAAGACTACTGACAATGTTGAATAAAGCTGTGAGCTCCAGGGAAACAGTGATTTTAAGGAAAATCACTTTTCTAGCTGATCCCTTAAGAAATCCTTTACTGAGACCGTGAGAGGCCCAGAAAAATAAAGTCAGATAGCACCTTCCAGGAATCCGCCAGACTGGGATTGTGAAGAGCCAACCAACAGAGGAATTAGCCAGTCTTTCTGGTAAGCCACACAGGCCATACAGGGACCAAGAAGAGGAAAGTCAACATCTCCTGTGAACCTACCCACAGACAGGCTGAGAATCACTAACCATTCCCCTCCATTTCCACATAAGCCATTGGCGGATTCAGAGGACAGGCTAAGTTGATAGCAACTGAGGTACAAAAAGCAACTGAAGGTTTTATGACTTTCTATGACTTTGCAGTTCTGGAGCCAGCAGTCTAGCATCTATAGGAAGGATTACATTTTGTAATATAGCAATTATGGGGGAATTCTTTTCATTTTGTTTTTGAAATCTAATGCTCTCATTGTTTTATTTTGTTCTGATTGCTTCGCTTTATTTAATATTCTTTTTTGATTGGTTTTATTCTGTTTTGTTGTGGTTTGATTGTACTATATCTGATGGAATGGACAACACTATTGTAAAGATAACAAAATATACTGTGGTAATCACTGTTGTTTTCCTATTATCCTACTTTGAAGTTCTGTACCAATTTCACTGCTTTGTTTTGATTTGATTTATTTTGTTTTGTTGGGTTTTATTATCTTTAAAATTAAAAAAATAAAAGAAAAAGAAATCCTTACCCATTTTGTCATCAGGAAAAAAATAGCTAAACTGTAATAAAGGACCATCTTCCTCTTCCTTCATATATATGATCATCTACATCCTTTCTCATGACTCCCCTAAGACTCCCTTTGTTTACCAATTGTGTAACACAGCAAGTTTCCTTCCTTGCTTTTGAAATGTTCCTCAGTAATGAAAGTTCTCCTAAATGCAATCACTTCTTTAATTATCAATGCTTTTGGATTTATATCTGAGTTGAAGTAATTATATTTTTTTATTGGAAAATAGTCATCTATAGCATACCCTCTTTTGGGTTACCAAAATTCTCCCCTACGCTTGTCTTTGAGCTGTTTTCTACCTTTGGTTAACTGAGGATAACTGATGAACATGTAAACTATTTTATCTGATTAAAACTTGATTTCTTCTTTCCTGTCAAAAAAAGAAGTTTGAATAATACCTACCTATAAATTAGACTAAATTCTTTTACCTTGCCCAAATAGTATATACTTACTAAATTTTGAATTCTTTCTATTTCTTTCAATTTCTAATTGGAATCCTCCAAATTACTATTCCTAATGTTGTCATTTCTACCTCATTTGGAGTCATATAGAATTAAAATTTGACTGCCTAGATACCTGTAGGGTATGCAGAGTATCTGACTGGGCTCTTTTCCTTTAGATCTGAAGAATTCCTGAGACATGAAGCCCAACAACTTGGTATCAATCTCCCAGATCCTACCAAACAGCAGATTGTGTATTGTGCTAGAATTCTCTACAGAAAAGTCACTGCTCAGACTAAGAAATGAGCATGGCAGAATGCTCAGTTCATGAATAGATGCATATGAAAAACAGCCAAGAATGTGTTTACAATGCCACCAAGAGCACTGACATCCCTTGTCTAGTGTTTCAAGAAACTCCATGAGTGGTGCTACAGAACCAAAAGATTTTCTCCAATGACCTTCATGAAAATCACTGGACTTTCAGGATTCTACTCATGGCTTTTCACTTCAGCACAACCTTTTATATTAATATTTATCTTGTTTATTTTAATTATCCCTCTTTTTGGATTCCAGGACCCTAAAACAACTAAACTTAGCCACCATTGTTCAACAGATGTTTCAATTGGTTTTATAAGAAAGACACTAATGGAAGTCCTTGAGAGGCTATTTCTTAGACCCTGCTCCACCCGAAACAAGATGTTTGTAATCTGCAGTGGGCACAATGAAATATTCACATGGAACAAGATCGACAATGTCAAACTTTACCTGAGCCCTCCACTCCCACACAGCAGTAATGGCTGGCTGGTAGAACTATCTGTCTCCAAGTTTGACATCAGTCAGCGTGGTCACAAAGGTCCTTCATCAAACATGTTAATATGACAACAGTAGA